AACACTGTATCAGTTTGCCACACTCTTTTTCCTGCAAATACATGATAACATTTTTTTCCTTCCAGATGTTTATTTTGCTTTGATTCTATTTGCTGAAAATTAAAATCGTCATCCAGTATACATATTTGACCGGGATGCCTTTTGCTAATCACTTATTCTAGGTCTATAAACTATGTGAAATATTTCCCTTACAGATACGTTGCTGATGGATTTTATTTTAGTTGATAAAATTTGATATCGAATCAGAAACACTCCTTTCACTGATATGTTTAACCCTATAGGTTTATAGTAAATTAAATCATAATCTAAATAATTATTGTAAATCTATTATAATTGTAGTGTTCTTTTGCTTTCTTGCTTTATTTATTTAGTTATTTATCTGTTTTCACTTACATCTTCCATTGGATGGGTTGAATACTTCTTCACCGACGTGAACATTTTTGGGTTGAATACTTCTTAACTGACATGAACCTTTTATATTGTTTACTCATAGAGTGATTGCCTCTAATTTATTTATTTAGAGTTATGGTCATGTTCCCTACCAATGGCTTGTGATATTCAATATCTCTATTTCTTATCCAAACCAGACAGGAAACTCAGAATACACTTAAACTCTCTGTTCTTCCCATCTTCCCCCATACACAATATATGTCAATTGCTCATTTAGAGAACAATAAATTTTCCTAAGACTTTCCTCACCTTTACTTCCATACTGCAATATATCCTCCTGAAGTCATCATTCTTCTTGCTATAACACATCCTTTATGTGTTCTTCAAAACTGAGTATGCTAAAAATATCTTTCTTTTCCCTCTTGAATTAAAGCAACAGTTTAAATGCAGAGAGCTTCCTTTAAACCTGACCGCACAGCTCTATTGACTTTCTGTACCCAGTGTTACTTTTCAAAAGAACGCTATGAATATAACCCCACTTCTCTGAAGTGATCTATATTTGTTTCTGTTGAGCTGTGTTTTTGTTTTCTTTTTCTTTCCTATATAATCTTTGAGAATTTTCTCTTATATTTGATTTTATTAAATGTTATTATTGGAATTCAAGTTGCTTATTTTTTTCTCCAGAAAAACGCTGTTCAATACTTAGATGTGTTCTTGGTTTGAGGTCTGACAGCACTCTTTAATTATGTTATTATTAACTTCAAACACTCCTCATATTTTGTCATTTTTTAACCCTTCTTTCACTCTGAGATGTATGCATAACCTTACATATCTATCCTCCATATCTATTAACATTTTCTTGATGCCTTCCAGGAAAGTACTTCAACTTTGATCATATCAATATATTCATTTTTTTTAACATTTCAACAATGATCACTGTTATACTCAGTATTTCCAAAGTCTTCTCCTTCGGTGTCAGTTATCTACCGCCATAAAATAAAGCAGTTCAGAACCTAGTGGCTTAAAATAATAATCAATTTATTAACACATGGTTTCATGGTTAGCTGTTTATACTGGGCTCAGCTGAGTGGTTTTTCAGCTGGTGTTATCTGAAGTCATTCATTCAACTGGTGTATCAACCAGTGTTGGATCGTCTAAGATGATCTCGTGCAGATGTCCTCGAGATGGCTCTGGCAGTTGGCTGGGGGTTTGGTGTTCTAGCAGCCTTCACTGTGATGGCTCCTCTATGTTCCAGGTGGTATCATTCTTCACGAGGCTGTCAGTGTTCTCCAATGGTGATGAAAGACTTCTCATCGACAGAAAGTTGAGCCTGAATTTGTAAGCACTTGCTTAGTCTCTGCTCATAACATGTTTGCCAACGTCTCATTAGCTAAAGTGAGTCACCAGATTGGATTGGTGGAGAAATGAACTCCAACATCTTTATGGGGGGAGGATCACCATCATATTTTAAAGGACTGTGAGGAGAGGGAGGAAGGAATTATGGTAGCCGTGCATGAGAATGCTCTACTGCACCTTTGTAACTTCTTAAAGTTTTCAATAACCTTCCCTTACGGTGAGCACCTTTTCTTACACTGGTCTAAGTATTATATCTTGTCTTTCTTTCGGAGTGCTTACACAAAGTCATTTGTTACTTTCTTGGGAGTAGCAGCTGTCTTGACATGATACTTATTAAAGAAAAAGCAAACACCCAAGTCCTAGTTTGTTCTTCTCCACCTGAGTTTAGGGGGTGGGAGTTTGGAGTATGTCTCAGGACAGGAAAGCTCTAACGTTTTCACCTTGATTTCCCGATCTCTTGCTCAGTGCTTTATACGTAAATCAATCTAATTATGAAGCAACTCTGTATGTTACCCTTCCTGACTCACAGGTGAGGGAAATAGGCTAAGAGAGTTTAAATAATTTGGATGCATCTACTAATTGACAGATCTGGCATTGTAGAAAGAAGTTCCTGACTCCAGTCTTCTTAACTGGCACATGTCACACTCAAACACTAAAAATCTTATTAAGGCATTGCCATTTCTTCTAACAGAAGAAACTTCTGATATTATTTAGCGTGGTCGTCCGTAAGGTGTATCCACCTGCTTTCTCTTTTTGGTCCATGTGTGTGTCTGTATGAATGAATATTACTCATTTGTTCCAGTAGGACTTGAAAACAGCTCAGTCAATGATCTCATCGCCACTTTCTACCTTCTGTGTGCCAAGGCTTTTGATTTCCCTATTGGTGTTTTCTTACAATGCACCTGCTGTTTATATTAATTGCTCTTTGAATTCTTTTTTTTTTTTCTTCAAGAGTAACCTTCACGGACACAGGCTCAGCAGTGGCGGCTCTGGGGGCATGCCTACTCCGGCTGGAGTGAGTAAGTGGGACAATGGTAGAAAACACGAGGGCCTTCCTTTGAGCTCAGGTGACACAATTCAAATTGAACAGCGAGGTTAGTTTTTGTTTTTGTTTTTCCCTGTGAGCAAGAAGGGATTCCAACAGTTACCACCTTACAGATAAAGCAACGCTGTGGAAATCACTGCACTTCCTTTGGCCTCATTTTCTGCATTTTCATTTCATTTTATTTTATTTAAAATAAATAATAAAATTATTTTGAGAGAGGGAGAGTGCAAGTGGGG